GAAGTCTCTTGAGTGGTTGTTTTACACACTTTATTATTGTACATCCAACTTGCAATAAAATTTTACATTATAATATTCTATTCAAATAAAACCACTTCACTGTTAACACTATTGAAATCACAATAACAGGATAAATTTTCCTAATTTGTATAATGCTGAGCACATACTGTAAACACAATACCGAATACATGGCAGGGTAAACGCATGGCTATATTCTCGGGACCAAACATTTTCACAGCCTGGCAACATCCCCCTGGTGAAAACAACAGTCAAAAACTGTGCTTCGGGCTAGTTTTTGAGATACATCTGAACGGTGCAACCTCTACATGTGCAACATAAATAAATTTGGTTGTTCGAGATTGTTTCATATTTATTTATTTTCACCAGCTATTCGATCAGCGTTCCACGGCAGCTTGCACAGAGCCTATAGAAATAGATGCACAGTGGTGCGTGTCTTAGCAACGTAGAACATTCTGTGACATTGCTCCGACCCCGAAAAAGAAACTTATTCAAATAAATTATGCCTAATGAATTATGCACAAAAACTGTAAAACCAGTCAAATTTAGAACTAGCAAGGCAGTTTCATAGTCTTGCACACATTGCAACATTCACTCCCTTTGAATTTGTAATTTGTGCACTGGTTTTAATAAAAACTTATTGCAAAGCATCAAATCTACATGTATTTGTGAAAATACTATTATATTCCTGATTTTTTTTTTTTGTATGTACAAATATTATATCTATGTAAAATGAATTTCAGTGTTTTCAGTAACTTGTATCATACTTGAGTATGGGTGACACAATTCCTATGTAATGAACCCTTTCAAAATGGAGGAATGGCAATTGCATGCTGTAGTATAGGGCTAACTAAACAATCTTTGAACAATAAAACAATGTCACTAATTATTGAAATTTATATTTTCAGTGTCGTTGGTTGTCATAATGTTTGAGTTGACAGGTGGTTTGCAATATATAGTGCCGTTAATGGTTGCTGTCATGACAGCTAAATGGGTTGGAGATGCCTTTGGAAGAGAAGGAATGTATCCTTTGACATCAACTATACCAATGCATTTGTTCCAGTATTTCAAGCCCTAATCTTCTCTTGA